CAATGGAGATGATGATAGCCGAACTGAGATCGAGCAACGACCAGCAATAACGTCAGTTTTGACTTTGATCGCTTAGTTAATTTGAAATGTATAAAAGAATTATCTTTAACGTCTGTATATATCATTTTGATTCTTATAAAGTTATAAGCAAGTTTATAAATTTCTATTTCAAAGACGTATTTCAATTTTATAAATATATAAAGTTTATAATATTTATAAATTTATTGAACAAAGTACTCTTTAATATTACATTTATAAAGTTTGTTTATAAATTTATAAATCAAATTAATTTTTTTAACTGAGCAGTGATGTTCATGTAAAGACGACATTGTAAGATATTTTTATATTTATACTATTTCATTTTCTTTATTTTTGCTTTATTTAATTTCGGTTTGTTATAATTTCTCCAGAAGTGTTTCAAATATATTGTACGAGTATGCAGCCATAATTTTGTCAATTTAAATTTTAAAGTTGTATGTTTTCCAAAAATTGTGTGTGACTATTAATGTATTCATTATAATAGGGAAATATACAGACAATGCGTTTTTCAACGCATTAATAAAATGGCATTTTGAAAGAAATAATTTCATTATTTTATCCAAAAAAATATCCCACACAAAACATTAGTATATTTGATTAATTTTATATATGTATGAAAGCTAAAAAATATTTAACATGTAATTATCGATTTTATGTTTTATTGAATTCATGCTCTCGGATGGAATTTGTTAAATCAGTTATTTTCTTTTTATACGCTTTTTTGATATACGTACTTTTAAAACAACGATACCCGCAAATTAGTAAGCGATGTATTAACGTCAATTGTCGCATTTGGCATCACAGAGACTTGCGTCGTCAGAGCTTGCCTTTACTGATTTCATCGACAATCACTATGTTGAAATTTGTAGATACCGCCACATGATACGCACCTTTCAATAAAAGAACGTTATTAAAGGAATTGATTGTAATATATATATATATAAGATTGGTTTGATTTATAGCTACAAAGATATTAGTTTCCATGCAAGATAATTTGTGCAGCTTAAAGCTGCAAAACCGATTCATCATCAAAGTATATCTACTGAAAAAATTCAGATTATTCTATGAACTGTCGAATCGACAACGTGAAACAAATGTTCATTGCGCCTTCTATTCCTCTCTGCTTCGTCGTTACAAAAATATAAATAAAATTAGAAGATATTTACTTTAAAGAAATTTTATTTCTCACTTTTCTGAAAGATTTGACAATTTTTAAAGTTGTATCAATTCGTCACTGGCCTGCAAAGTAATCGTATGAGGAAAAATTGTAAGATTAACGTTGAATTGAAAAGTGGATCTTCTCTTCGCAACGACGCATTTCTCGATGACATGTTTATCGAGAAAGGACAATTAAGTTTTGGTAGCGGACATTCGGCGTTGGAACATAATAAAGGCAACGTGTTGTTTTGAGAGATTCTAATGATGTACACAGTGTCCTAGAAAGATATATTACGTGCAGGAGGATATTTTCCGAGCAACTGATGTTTCGCGAAAACGAGAACTTTGATACCTCGAATTGAGAATTGGAGAGACCAATAATAATATATTTCAAAAATGTAGAAATCCAACGATATTCGGAGACAATGCTGAGTTTTTAAAGCTGAAAGATTTAGAATTTCAAATGCAAAAAATTTATACATGCTGAAATCGCAGTTTCGGGTACAAACTGTTGCGGGAATAACTTGTGAGTTTCATGAAATTAGAATAAATACGTTAATCTACATCTCTCTCTGGGATTGATTATATATATATTAATATCACGCAAAAATAGATCATGTAGATTGTGACGAAGTGTAATTGAAACGTTAAGGAACTTTTTTTCAATAAATTTTAAGATATCTATTTTTTTAATAATTTGTTTAATATACTATGTGTAATAACCGCCTATGTACACGGGTATTATATAATATATACTAGGTTCTATATAACAATACGTCTATTTGTTGCTGAGAAACTATGACATCGTTGAACGTTTCCGACGCGGACAAAGGAAAAGACAACTGCGAGTGCGCGCGGAAAAGCACGCGCTATTGTCACACGTATTATTTTTCTACATAGGGCTCATAAGCGAGATATATGAATGACTTTATCGTATTTGGATTTTTAAATAATTGTTAGTTATTTAATAATGAATATATTAACTGCTGCGTAATTATATTTACTACCACGAGCAACCAAAACAGCGGCGAACAAGACTGATTAAATTATTTTTCGCCTTTCTTTGTTATTACTTCATTTTAAACTCATGCCAAAAAATGTGCGAAAATTGCCTTAAATATCTTAATAAATTACCTTAAATAATATAATTCAATCGAATCAATACTCACCATCTTTTCGCGTGACGAAGTTTATATTATCATGAAAAAGTGTGATTATGATTTATTTCGCAATAAATATATATTTATTTAAACTCGCTGCAAAAGAGTCAAAAATAATAATTATGCAAAGTACAAAAAATTTATCGTTACAAAACGAGACATAAAAGTGCCCAATACATATAATATTGCTATATAAGTAGTGATTTCAAGTGGATAATTAAATATGCAAAGTCAGTAAAACGCATGTAAAGTTTAAAAAACAGGTATGTATTTCTCATATTCTTTGTGATTCCTTTTTTGTATCATTTCGACGAAATACAGTAGAGCTAATATGGTACATAAAAATGGCATAAGTAATTAATTTGTAAGAATTATATGCAGTGCAGTGCTAATCTACTTGACAAGAAGCATTCGAAGTTATTATTACGTTGTTTTTTACTTTAGAAATTTTTATTTTTATTGTTTTATTCATTTGTATATATCCAATATTATTGACAATGAGATAAATTATTTTTCACGTGTTACATTAACGTGCTCTAGATGATCCGAAAAATATTTGCTTCATTATGTTACGAGTGTTTAACTATAAGTTAATAAAACTCAAAATTGAAGGTATCGAGATTAAAAACATCGCTATTTCATATATAATTCAAACCGAACGTCTTGATACGACGGCGACAGTAACATATCTAAATACGTGCTAAAGAAATATGGAAACAATACGTTTTTCAACGCATTAATAAAAAAAAATTTGGAAACAAATAATTTCATCATTTTGTACAAAAAAATATCCAAAATAAAACATTACTATATTTAATTAATTTTATATATGTATGAAAGCTAAAGTATATTTAACATGTAATTATCGGTTTTATGTTTATAAAATTATAAATAAGTTTGATGAAATTACAATAATTTCTACGATAAAGTGTTTGAAATACAATATACTCTAATTTACTTTGTAATAAATATATTCCTACGTTAACTTTTAGCAAAAAATGTCCAAAGAATTAAAGAAACAAAATTAATTTGTTCGTTACAAGATGAAACATAAGAATGTGCAGTACGGCGTACCCTTCTTCAATTTAATATATAAGGAAGTGTTACAATTTCTCTTTTAAGTGAATAATTAAACGTACGAAATCAATAAAACGCATATATAGTTTAAAAAACTATGTATTTATTTATTTTTAAAACATTCTTAAACGTATTTATCACTTCGATAAAAGATAATACATTTAAAATAATATATAGAATATGATAAATAATAAAGCTTTTAAAAATTATATTCAGTGATGTGTGAATATTAATTGACTAGACTTAGAGATACACTGGATAGTATGTCAAAAACTAAGACTATAAAATTTCAATTTAAACAGTTTAAAAATAGAAATTCTAACCATCAGGCGAAAGGTGTAATCTTTTAAATTAAGCTATCGTTAAAACCAGCCTATGTTCTTGCCGTTTACCTTGTTGAGTTTATTGCGCGATATTTTGTCGAAGAATAAAAGCCCAGCAGCGCGTTCGATGCTCTCGGGCGGTACCTGTCAAAATTAATTATATTATTATTATGCTCTCCTTTGATATATGTATACATATATATACACAATAGTTTCTTAGAATGTAAACCAACGATACCTGGAAATTAGTAAGCGGCGTATTATCGTCGATCGGTGCATTTGGCATTACAAAGGCTTCCATCTCTAGCTTGCCATCACTGGTTTCACCAACAATCACTTTGTAGAAATGTGTGGGTACCGCCACATGATTCGCACCTATCACTTCGTAACGTACGTATTTTTTTCCATCCGCCTCTTTTCTGTGAATAGAAAAAAGCTAAATGAATTCATTGCAATGTTACTTTTAAAAACAGAATAATTAACATTAATTAGAAATAAGGGAAACGTTAGTAAAACATATTTGTTATAATATAAATGTTCCCTGTTACAGATGAAAAGGATTCTAACGTACTTTGGAAGATATAATGGTCCTGTGCACACATAAACGTCTTTATAAACGTTCGTTAATTTTCGAACATGTTTCTCTAGTCTATTCCAGGAGTCTCTATTGAAGCCCACACCAACCTGCGGTGCCATGTTGGAAAGAAAGAAGGTTTGCTCAATGTGTTTCTGTTCCACTTTGTGGTTGCCAGCCGCAGCCAGATGGCCACGATCGTAGCCACTTCCCTTGTAATCTGTATTCTCTGACCTATTGGCATCAATTACAATAAAGTCTCAATTGATTTTAGTAAAATAATTTATAATTCAAAATTTTCTGTAGTAATTTTAATACAATGTTAGAATTATATTTAAATTATGCATATTTCTTTACCTGAAGAAGGGATGTATACTCTCATCAGACTTGAATTCGCATTTGGCGCGGTCAACTTCATTGTTGTACTGCAGTCTTTCTTTAGTTAAGTGTTCAAATACCCAATGGGCTACTTTGTTTCTCCTGTCATACGAAAGCACAAAATCCTCATACGATCTGACATGATCCAATCCAGGAAAACCAAATTTCATAATCTGCCACAATATCACCAATGCAATCCAATACAAATCATGAGACATTTTTCATAAGCCTACACTTTTAAACGCTACTTAAGTTGCAGAGCGCAATGTTACTTTTTATTCAGTGCCATCACTTATTAAAAAGTTCGCATGTGTATTAATTAATATGAAATCGTTTAATTGTAAAATGTCACTGACTATATCTGTTTGCAGGTTAATTAACGATTTGTGACATGTGTCAAAAATACTTTCTGTACCTGCGACACCCTCGTGGCGGTGGAAGACATTTTGGAGCCCATCTCTGGGTTGCCCTCAACGGGTGTCAAAGGGACAGCCGCCGAAACCGTGCCGAACAAGGGCAAACCCGGCATACTCCGAATACCTGCGGTCGACGACGCGTATATTCCATTGTTTTCCTCATTCGAACATCGTCTCTGTTCGAAGAATTTGCTGAAATACCAGCCGCCCAAACTCGCACTGGTCAAGGCGGTCAAATTAAACACCATTCGTCTCGCACTCATTTTTCCTTCGCACTTTCTTACATATATAAAGCCAGTGTACTTCGACGACTTCGACACAAGTGATGAGGTTAGGATTGAGATTAGAACAGATTACCGATTAGAAAACTTGTTTTATACTGTGCTCTTCACGTGAATTTTGCGTAGCGCGATAGTGATAGTGGATGGACTGCGTGATAGATAATGCCGATATAACATAAATAACAACATAAATATGTGGATCGAAATATTTCATTGAAAAAGGCCAAAGGCCTGCCACTTTGAATGCACAGGAAAGACGATAGAGCCGCTTTTCGGAATAAAAGTGAACTAGGAATTCGTACTTCCGCTAAATGACTAAAAATACTAGAATTATATTATAAAAAATGATAGAAAAAGGCTATGAAAATCAAATGCGGGACGCAAAAAATATTACAAATTAATATAGATTAAAAATACGAAAACGTTTCAACCAATTTTTAAACTCGTAGAACAATTGTAGATTTAAATCTTTAAAAAAGCAACAAAGAGCAACATTATTTAAATTTTATACAAAGGTTTTTTATTTACAGTGAAAAGTTTACAAACAAAACATATTATTTACAATGATTCTATCTCGCAAACTTTAAACTTTTTAAAATAATTCACACTATGCAGTACATCTGCGTCGTCTGATTCTCTTGAAAGAGAACTGAAAAAATTTTTGAACAAGTAAAATAAAATGTAAAGAAATATTTAGCAATACGCTACAAATTAACATAATTTCGTTTTCATAAAAAATACTCAATTTTTAAACAGAAGAGTGTTAATTATAATTTATCAAAACGTTATTGTGATTAATTTTTCAGAAAATCTAATATTATAAAATTGTATTTTTAATACTGAGCGAATCAATCGCATTTCAATTTCCACTTATATGTTAAACCTATGAAAATAGAAAACTTTTCAGATCTTGAAAGATAATATCTCAATCACTATTATTCTCATCAGAGTCTTCCACCAAGATAATATCGTGACCGGACAACATGCGAGGATCAAAAGTAGCCTGGAAGCATTTTTGAAATACCAGCTTGGCTTTTTTAGCTATCTGACGCGGCGGCGGCGAACATGGCACGCTTCCTTCCAGATTTGCATCCTCCTCTTCCTCCTCCTTGTGATTCTCGTCGTCGCTCGTCGATTTGCGCTTAGTGATACTGGAGAATACTGTGTTCACTAGTTTTCGCTTTTCCTTCGAAATGCTCCTGCCACTCAGCGATGACGTTGTGCTAGCAGGATTGGAAGGACGACTCTGCTCCGGCTTGCTCATATTTCTCTCCCGAGCATTGTTTCTGGAAGTACTCGCTTCCGCGGAATCGATTCTCATGGAGTCGTTGCCGACTCCGCTGAACGTTTTATCCGCTTGATCTTTCTCTTCTGATCTCACTGATCTGTTTTGGGTTGCATTATCGACGACAGAATTGACAGCAACAGCAGATTTCTTTGTTCTCCTCGTGGATTTGTTGACACGGCTCGATGTACTTCTTGAGGAAGCATTCCTTTTTCGGATAGATTGCATCGGCCTACTGACAACCGACGTGTCTGTCTGACTGTCACTATCCGGAATCAGAGTTGACAACAACAAGTTTGCCTCAAAACATTGATTCTTTAATGTAAACAGGATTGGTCTAAAAAATAAAATTGTCCAAATAGAAGTATATACTATTGTTTCATCATTATTATTACATAAAATCGATATTTTAATCTATGCATTAGAATAGTTACATTAATAAAATTGTTTTCCTACACGTTTTTATAGAACATGTCATTGTTGCGATATAATTATTATGATTTTTTAATATAATTGTGCATATAAAGTTAAATAATTTAATATTTTGATGCGTACCTGCCTGCTGTCTCAAAATTTAGACTAATATGGACACCGACGCTCTCGCTAAAAGTGAGCAAGGCTCTGACCTCTTTCAGGCAAAATGTGATAATTGTCTCACTATCCACTGTGTAACGATCAAATTCTCGGACACCAAGAACCAGCTGGGTTCGCATGGTATTTGCCATAACTGAAAAACGATTAAATAATATAAATTAAAAGTCCAAAATCTAAAAATAATTGTGTCCATTCTTATTAATTATTTCATTATATTTTATTGATATTATATTACAATGGTGATATTTGTTGAGCATATTAAATATGTAATTAAAACTGGCGAATAGCAATTTGGGGTTAATTTTTTTATATTAAGATATTATAATCCAATTGTTAAGCTTACATTGCATGTTTGCTGATATTATAAGCAATAATTTATCAATTATATATTATTTATTTATACAATGTATCAGAATACACTTACCTGATGCCTCATCCACAAAGTTCCTGAGGAATAGTTTATTTGGCATTATTTCAAGTGTAATCTCGATCAGACTTTGTGGAAAATTTTGCAGAGCATCCATCAATGTTCTAGCCTGGCATATTATTTCATTGGTCATACCAGCCTTAGCGTATGAAGCCTGCGTATGAATATGCAACTTTATTAAAAAATGATCAATACAATTCAAACAACATAATATTAATTAATTCTCGGATATGCAAAAACAATTATATTTAGTAAAGCAAAATCAACTAATGTACTTTAGTTTAATAAATTGGATAATATAGAATTAATCTAGCTTTTCCCAAGTGTTAAACAGATTTTTAAAGCAGTCTATTTATAAACTACATCCAAGAATTGAAAATAGTGGAATATGTTTTCAGTATACTTGCAACTTCTCAGAATCCAAAATAGGTATCAGATGAGATTTATTGATGCCATTCTTATACTTTAAGATAAATACTAAATTGCAATTTTCTACTTCCAAATGAATGTGACAAGTTTCCACTTGTTTGTCCAATATATGTGCCGATTTGAAAACAGTCATGGCACTCTGCAAATTGCAAAATTAATATCAGATATCTAAATAATGTCAGAACAAGAATAGAATACAATATATTACCATCATAGAAATTTTACACTTTTGCGCCTCTTCTTCTTCTTCAAGATCTTCAACAGTATAGTAAGAGAAAAAATTTTTGTAAAATGTGAAGTTGGAGTATGCCGATTTTGCCATGTTAACTGTGCAAAAGGAAATAGATTCTTGTTGTGGGTTCACATACATCTCGTCACCAATTTTTGCTAGCATCTGTATTGCCTTTGCCAAGACTGTCAATCAAGAAATATTAATCGATAATTTAACAAAAGATTTCCAAAATTGTGAATCTGAGATTTTTTTAGATTGTAGTAAACACTAAATTAACAAGAAAATCTCATTTGAACATATAATTCATATTATATATTTTTAAAAGGTATAAAATATGTTCAAGAAAATAGAGGAGTGAAGAGAAAAATTAAATATGATAAACTAAATTAATAGTGACACTTTTTTTGCAAAACTACGATTCTAGCGATGATATAACCTAAATTAAAAAAGCGAATAACATACTTTTGACGTTTCCCCCGGGTATGACGCATTTCATGTCGACGTTTTCTTTATTTTAGACACAAATGGTATGTAAAAAACATGAAATTGTATTTTTAATTGACTAATTCTTTGTATAAAATACATTACAAGAGTTCATACTTTTTCGCGCGATCACATAAATATAAACATCAAAATATACAAGAGGTCTTCAACTTGAAGACCTCTTGCGGGAGAAATCTTTGCGAAAGTCAAAGCTACCAACATCAAAAAAAGTAATTCTCCATGTTTGTGCAAATCATAGGCCGCTTTCCAGCTAATGATGCTTGTGTCGATTTGTACCATTAACTGGAAAATGATTACAGTAAACTTTTGTCATGGATTTTTTTGACTTAGATAACAAATAATATCACATTTGTTTATTTTTTATATATAATTGTATATATATATATAACATACATATAAAAAATATATTAACATTATTCTATATAAAATCAATTTATATTCAAACGGAGGAAGTGTAGTAAGAATTTTCGATATATAATTTCGAGTTTCGATAACTCATAGCTACCAACATTATTGTATACTTCCGGTGATGTGTTTGACGTTTCTGCCTTTTTCACTCCGTTGTGACGGAGTTATTGATATTGAGAGATTGTAAATTTAGTTGTTAGTAGAGTAAGAATTTAATTAAGAAAATCATGGTGAGTAATGTGCCAAATTAATTTGTTAAAACTCAAACATTAATTGTTTTGGTATCCTAACCTTGAAGTAGGAAACTTTTCATTCAATATCTTATTATTTTTTATATTATTTTTATTATAATTAGGAAATATAGTCAAATTTTTGTCTTTAAACACGTTTTCTATTATTTAACCATCTTCTATTTATGAATAAAAATTGAACGGCTTATGTGTATCAATTTCTTAGAGTTTTTCATTAAGATGTTGAATATATGTTTAATTATTTTTAAAGAAGTGTAAATTGTATAATATTTCGCATAATAATTTTACAAACTCTGGAAAATCACTTGATAACAGACAGAGAAACATGTTTTTTGCAGCTCGTGTTGGTATTAGGCGACTTGCACATTCCGCACAGATGTAGCAGCCTTCCGAGCAAATTTAAGAAGCTCCTAGTACCAGGTAGAATACAGCATATCTTATGTACGGGTAATCTTTGTACAAAGGAGTCGTATGATTATCTCAAAACGCTAGCCAGCGATGTACATGTAGTCAGAGGAGATTTCGATGAAGTATGTATTATTCTAGCATCTTTCTACATATAAAAGCATTCAGAGAAATTATATTAAAATGTTATTAAAATATTGACATATAATCGTAATGAGCTATTAAACAAAATTATACATTGATCGATATAACCAAATTGATTAATGTAATAATGTAAAAGTATAAATAGGTTTAAAAACGAGAATTTTTATTTGCTTTGTAGAATTTAAATTATCCAGAACAGAAAGTGGTTACTGTGGGCCAATTCAGAATAGGCCTTTCACACGGGCATCAGGTGGTACCATGGGGTGATCCAGAATCCTTAGCATTGATACAGAGACAATTGGATGTTGATATTCTGATATCTGGCCATACTCATAAATTTGAGGCATATGAGCATGAAAATAAGTTCTATATCAATCCTGGATCAGCTACTGGAGCTTACAATCCTCTGGATACGTAAGTCTTACTAGATGAAGATATAGAAATCATTAAGAAAACTTGTATAGATTATATGAAATAAATATATAAAGAAAATTATATAAAAATATTCCGTAGAAAAAAATCTACTTTGAAAACTTTGATTCTCAACAATTCTGGATTTTATAAATTCATTTTTTCATTGTAATCTTTTAATTATTTTTAAAACAAGTTCTTTGGGAGAATATAATTTGTGATTTCTAATGACAATTTAATATAAAGCAAGCTTTTATTTCAAACTTTAATTTTTCATTTTAGATCTGTCATACCGTCGTTTGTATTGATGGACATTCAAAGCTCAACAGTAGTTACATACGTATACCAGCTAGTCGGGGACGAAGTCAAAGTGGAGAGAATTGAATATAAAAAGAGTTAAAACTACTGGTATCTCTAGAATATCATGGATTGTACTTGAAATCCAACAGGAATTTGATCATAAGTATAAACATTTAACATTTGCGGGACACTTGCAATCCGCATCGAATTAATTAATCCAATAGCATTTAAGCATGATTTATTAAATGTATGTTTATTGTAAATAAAGTGATATATATATATAACTTTTTTCTTATATATGTCAAACTAAATTAGCTTTTTCTTTCTTTATATCACCATTTTTTGCTTGATGTAAGTATTGATAAAATTTTAAATATTAGTATATATCAAATTTTCAAATTAATAGATTAAAATTAATGAAACTTTAATCTTTACTTTTAAAGTTAAGGTTTTTTTAAAAAATAAGCTATTTTTGGATAGGATTTTCGAGTGGGAATACTTTCTCAGTATATTGTTAATTCTTACAAAAAATTCCACAGTTACGTAAACATGCATTTATGCAACTGTGCGTTTATGGTTTAATTTCCAATACTATTCATGAACTCAAATAAATTCGGACCAAATTTCTCCGATTTATTTTTTTAAGAATCAATTACACAAATAGACTAAAATTTATATAAATAAAAAGATAAATAAATAATGTTTGTTTTTTTATTTATCAGAAACATGTGATTAGAAAATAAGGATGCATATATCTTATGAAGATAGTAATAACATCCAAATAGTGTCAATAATTGAAATGAAAAATTGACTATCCTTTAATCGCATAAGTAATATTTATCATATTTTTGTAACAAATGACGGATATCATTGCAACAAAACATTTTTACAAATCATTCATTCAATCCGACAAACGCCCACAAAAATTTATTTATAAATTAAAATAAAATGATTATTACTTTATCATTTTCTTGATTTCCTCAGAAGAGTGAATCCTTCGCCAGTGAACGCTTTAAACTCGTCTGGATCCTTTATCTATAATATAAACGATATCAACTATATATTTCCGCACAGAATAATTATTATAAGTTAGATTATAATTTATATCTTTCTCTAATTCAGAATAACACGAGTTAAATTACTAAAATCTTCATTAATCTAATTTATAAGACTAAAACTTTCAACTCAGATTTAAACTTGAACTTTCAACGCCGACTTAGATACTCACTTCCTTATTATTCACTGGCTTCATGTTTCGTAGAAATCTGAGAGAACCTATCTGATAATCGTAATCAGGTATTCCTCGTATGTAAGTTGGCTTAGCAGCCAAGGTTTCCTTTTGGGGTGTATCCTTGCGCTTCTTACCATCCAATCGGACGCCTTCACCCTTGAAAGGTACAAATCCAGTTGGTGCCGGCATCAAATCAGCCAGATCCTCCAACTCATCCTTCTCTTTCTTCACTTTCCTCTCTGGTTCTTTATAGCCAATTGGCGGTGCAAACTCTACATTCATGTCACACTCAATGATACTGACGGCTGAACCAGGTTTGGTCTCCAGTACGCACATCTCATAGATCTTTTGATTATACTTAATCGCAATCACATCGCCTGTAGTTAAGCAAGCAAAGCTGCGTAAGCCGTTCTCCAGCACAGCTTTTGGATTTGTGATGTCCAAGAAATCTTCAGACTGTGGCTGGAAGCGTGAGAATGTTGCTACCGGCAATGATACACTCTCCACATTCAGCAATTCACCTTCTTCTAGCAAAAGATTGTGCATCATCTATAAAGAAATCATAAACATTACACATAATTATTACAAGTATAAATTTATCATAAGCTATTACAAATGTGTCACTGTCATATTGTGAAACCTTAATTAAATAAACAGATAATAGATAGAAAATATCATTAATTTTTGGATAGCACAATGGTTTCATTACAATTTGCTTAAAATAAGATTTGCATCTCGTACTAACCCAATAAGGTAAATAGACTTTGCCTTCATCCGCTATAAATTCAAGTACACCGCAGTGGGTGATTCTGTTTGTCTTCTTATTGGTTAACTTAAACAGCATCGGATAAATGATATTGAGCCTAGTTAACTGTTCCAGAGCAGATGGTGGCATGATTACTAAAAGATAAACATATCACTGTAAAGTATTGTTCTTTGTTTTTATCAAGTTAACTATTTACTCACTCTTGCCACCACGTTCAACGTCTTGACGATAAGTCCCAGGCAACATAGACACTGAGAAGCATTTATACTGGGTATTAAACGGCCGCGGAATCTCCGGGAACATATTGAACCCGAATTGAAACTGAAAAGTCATTTTGATGAATCGTTAACCTCAATCTTTTTCTCTCCAAACAAGCTTCGACAAAATTTATGTCATTTCTTCAACTACTGTTATTATCTTCGTTATTTTCTTACCATGTTTGCCATTCGATGATCTCTTTAATAGGTTGATTACGTGATTTATTTCTACGAAAACATGAATTTTAACGAAGAACAATGTCTAGACACACACACTGCTAAAAATGTTTGACATGACTGGCCTGGATTGGCCATGACTGGCCTACTTCGATTCAAAGTTCAATAAGGACAATACAAGAAAAAATTTCACATATGTTATTGGATTTATCTTTTCGAAACCTATCGAATAATGTAATTATTCGGGGGTTCCTATTTACAAAAAATTTTACTAAAAATTTTATTAAATATTTTACTAAGAATTTTATTATTTTTTATCGAAGTGATAAATACGTTTAAGAATATGTTTAAAAAATAAATAAATACATAGTTTTCTAAACTATATATGCGTTTTATTAATTTTGTACGTTTAATTATTCACTTAAAAGAGAAATTGCAACATTTCCTTACATATTAAATTAAAGAAGGGTGCGCTGTATTGCACTTTCTTATGTCTCTTCTTGTAACGAACAAATTTATTCTGTTTCTTTAATTCTTTGGACATTTTTGCTAAAAGTTTACGTGGGAATATATTTATTACAAAGTAATTCAGTGTATATTACATTTCAAAGACTTTAGCGTAGAAATTATTGTAATTTCATCAAACTTATTTATAATCTTATAAACATAAAATCGATAATTACATGTTAAATATATTTTAGCTTTCATACATATATAAAATTAATCAAATATACTAATGTTTTGTCTGGGATATTTTGGGATAAAATGAAGAAATTATTTGTTTTAAAATGCAATTTTATTAATATGCAGACAATGTGTTTTTCAACGCATTGTCTGCATGTTTCTTAACTATAATGAATACATTAATAGTCACACACAAATTTTAGAAAACATACAACTTTAAAATTTAAATTGACAGATATTGCTGATTACTCGTACAATACATTTCAAACACCTCTGGAGAAATTATAACAAACCGAAGTTAGATAAAGACAAAAGTAAAAAAAATAGAAATAAGTATAAATATGAAAATATCTTACAAATGTCGTCCTTACATGAACATCACTGCTCAATTAAAAAAATCAATTAAAAAAATTGATTTTGTTGAGGATTGGTACGAATAAAAAGAATTGTTTGAAGAAAAATAGCACGAGAGCTTTATTTGTATATACGGGAAGAAACCGGAAGTAAGATAGACAAGACCGACAGTGTAACAGAGAAGCGCTCACCGTCTACAGCGCCATACAGCGCCACCGCTCAACGGCATAGCGGGGCGTTTACATGACAACACCCCAACTTATCGTAAGCTACAATCTAAAAAGGAACTCAAGGAAATAAAGCTAAGGTACATTAATATCACTGGCCCGATGAGCCTTAGTGACTCATCCAAATGGCCCAAAAGTTAGGATGATGGTCAGTTGGACTGAAGGTCCAAACCAACTCTTTGGCTTACGATACTCTGCAGACCCATACGTTGAGCGCAGAATTTCTGCTCTGGCCCGTCACTCCTTTGGTGAGACAGTCAGCTACATTTTCGGCAGTCGGAACGTGCAGTAATTCAATAGTTCCGTCGATCGCCTTTTCGCGTACATAGTGGTGTCGCGTATCAATGTGCTTGGTTCTGGCCCGATAACAGTCCGTAGTCGCGATGTCGAGGGCACTCCGGTTGTCACATTCGAGGTGAATTGCCTCAGCTTTCTCGAACTGCTCATGAAACTGCTTCAGCCAGACTGCTTCCTGCGTGGCCGTTGCCATGGCCATGTATTCTGCCTCGGTTGAGGACAGAGCTACCGTTGGTTGACGTTTGCTGAGCCATGAGATACTGCCTGTGCCCAGCATAAAAACGTATCCGGTGCATGACCGGCGGGTGTCCACATCCGAACCCCAGTCAGCATCAGCAAACCCATGGAGCTTCAGGTCATCGGAACGAATAAAAAGAATTGAATAATTAATTGTTCCTTTCAAATACCTGAAGATCCGCTTGACGGCGGTCCAGTGAACTTGTCCGTGGCTTGTGTTAAAACTGCTCACGTTCCCAACAGCAAATGCAATATCTGGTCGCGTTCCTTGAACCAGATACAAGAGACATCCTACAGCCTCTTGGTAGGGAATGTTACTTGTGTCTTCCCCTTCCTTCTTCATGTTGATTGACAGTTTTTCATTTGGAACGCTGGGAGTCGGCAACGGGTTCGCAAATTCCATTCCGAACCGCATCAACATGTTCTTGATGTACGACGATTGGTCAATTGCTATTCCATTATCTACGTATGTTATGTTGATTCCAACGCACGTTCGGGCTCGGCCCAAGTCTTTCATTTTGAAGTGAGTCCCCAACTCAAGCTTCAGGCGGTTCAGCACTTCCTTGTCCCGCCAAAAAATTAGAAAGTCATCAACGTAGATTGCCACGATGAGTGATGTATTCTTTGTGTGGTACACACACGGGTCCATTTTCGACTTCTCGAGCCCGTACGATCGTAAAACGTTGTCTAAAACGATGTTCCATTGACGACCACTCTGCTTCAAGCCGTACATAGCCCTCTTTAGCTTGCACACGCGACCACTTCCATCGCTGTACGAAGGCGGTTGCTCGATGAAGATTTCTTCATCTAAATCGCCTTGAAGGAAAGCAGTCACCGCATCCATCTGGTCAATTTTCATATTCCACTTTACGGCCAGTGCGATCAAGAGACGAATCGATGTGTAACGCACTACCGGAGAGAATGTCTCGACGTAGTCAAGTCCATACTTCTGAGAGCACCCCTTGGCAACCGGGCGAGCCTTGTATCGCAACACAGACCCATCCTCGGCGAGCTTTCTCTTGAACACCCATTTGGTCTTGATTGCTTTCCTACCCTCGGGTAGTTCCTCCAATGTCCACGTTCCGTTGGCTTCCATTGCTTGCATTTCTTCGTCCATCGCTAGTTTCCATTCAACAGCGTGCGGTCCAGCCAGCGCCTCTTCCGCTGTTTCAGGTTCGCCAGAACGCTCGATGTCTTCCGCTCGGTAGGTAACGTAGTCTCCGAGTCGTTCAGGTGGCTTCCGGGTTCGCCGCGATTTCCGCAATGCCTCTTCCGGTGATAGTTCGGGTTCGTTGCCTTTGATGTTGTTATCCGGCGTGCCTGTAGCCCGACCATCTGCAGCGTTGTTGACCGCGGTTTCGCCACCATCATTGCCTCGATCATCTTCGGGATCTCTCTGGCGTGCGCCCCCAACTCCTTTCGGTTGTTTTTCTGGCTTCTCTGGAATGACGTCGACATCATCTTCAATAAAATGTTTGACTATTACCTTTGCTTTCCGAGGTTCCAGGAACTTGACGTCACGGCTCACAAAAACCTTTCCGTTTTTGACGTCTAGGCACCGCATTGCCTTCTGCGTTTCCGAATATCCGACGAACACCAACTGCTTCGACTTTGGATCGAGCTTTTTTCTGTAGATTTCGGGGATGAGTACCATTACTGGCGTGCCGAAGATTTTCAAGTTTGACACGTCAATTCGTTTTCCACGCCATACTTCCTCTGGAACTTTTCTTCCAAGCGAACGGTTCACCGATCGATTGACGACGTAGGCTGCCATGTTAACCGCTTCAGCCCAAAAGCGTTTTTCCAATTCCGCATCAATGAGTAGGCACCTTCCACGTTCCACCAGTGTCCGGTTCATGCGTTCCGCTACACCATTTTGTTGGGGTGTGTAGGCGCATGACGTCTCGTGGATGATTCCAGCATTTTTGAAAAATGCCTTGTTGGCGCCGTTTACGAACTCAGTCCCGTTGTCGGACCTAATGCGCTTAACTCATCGATCTGTCTGCCTTTCTACCATCTTCACGAAAGCCTTGAGGTTGTCACTCACCTCCGCTTTTGATTTTAGAAAATAGACGAATACCTTCCTGGAGAAATCGTCGATGAATGTCAACAGGTACCTGGCTCCTCCACTGGATGTCACTTCCATTGGCCCACATAAATCCGTGTGCACCAACTCCAGAATTTCCGTCGATTTAATTTCCGTATTCGACGAGTGAAATGGGGCCCGAGATTGTTTCCCCATCATGCACGTGATGCATTCCTTCACGTCTTCACCATTTCCGTCGAACTCGAGGCCGTCAACCAGGCCCTTTAATCGAATCATGTCGCCGATATTCAGGTGTCCGAGCTTCCTGTGCCAATCCATTGCATCTTTTTCCATTCCGTCGGCACCATCCATGTCGCCACTCGCCAGACGACACTCGATCGCATTGCTGTCTACCACGTACACACCATTCCGCATTTGCGCTTGCAGTAATTTCTGACCTCTCGGGTTGTAAATCCGGCAGTCTGTTCCATCGAACTGTACCTTGTTTCCAGCTGCTGTGATTTTCGCCACTGACAGCAAATTTGCCGCCAATTGCGGCACGTAGAGCACCTCCTTCATTTGGATGTTCACACCGTCGATTGACACTAGCACCATGCCGCTACCAAGCACCTTCAACTTCTGGTTGTTGGCGGTCAAAATTTCCGGGAAATTTCCTGGCCGAAAATTCTGCAGGATGTTTCGGTGCGGCGTCATGTGTCTCGACGCTCCGCTGTCCAGGTACCAGTTCGTGCTGGCCACCATTCGATCGTTCACCATGAATGCATTCGTCAGCTTCGCGTTCTCCGATTGAGCTTTCGGTTTCGATTTGCATTCGGACCGCTTGTGACCGACCTTGCCACAGTTGTAGCATTTAAAACCGAATTTCTTTTTGTCCGATTTCTTTCCGCCGCTTGCGCCAGCTTTCGGATGACCTAGGAGTGCTGACGATGACTCACCTTGATGGCCTCTGTCCACATCGAGCAATTTGGTCTTTACACTATCGGTGGTCAGTGCCACTCCGCTACTTTCCAGTCCGAGAATGAGCGGACGATACTCCTCACCGAGTCCAGCCAGCATAATCGCACCGATCCACTCGTCAGTGATCGCGAATCCGATGCCAACCAATTTATTCGCCGTTGATGAAATCTCCGATATGTATTCCGTCATTGAGTTACATTCATCGCGGCGCACGGTGATGAGATGCCTCAGCAGCGTTATTTTCCGTGTGAGACCTTTGTCGTCGAACAGATGTTTCAACGCCGTCCAGACGCCAATCGCCGTCGTGTGACCTTGGATGTGCACGTAAAGT